CCAAAAGCTGGATTACAGTAACAAGAAGATTACCCTTCCAACAACTCCGACAAGCACGACAATAAAGCTATCACAATGCCTCTCAATGTGTGGTGATTAATAGTATTCTCTCCTCGTCTGGTATTAATACAGTCGTGTGGTTTACATGCCCAAATAACAAAGAATCCCTGTGGTGCAAATTAAGTATAACACTCAGAATACAGTTTTCATTTGTTTCACTGAAACCTCTGGACAATTATTTGTTTTCCATCTATTTTCACTATCTGCTTGGAAGGAGGATCGGGTATTAAACACACAGATCTTTTGCATAACACAACTGTTGTGCGTTTCTTCAGCGTGCTGCTGTCAATGATGTGATAGAGGATTGGGCGCGCAGAGGTAGCTTGTCTGACTGACAAACCCCAGGATGAAGCCCTCTGAGGTGGCGAGAGTGATCGGCTGCCGCTTTCTTCCTCCAGCCACTCATAAATCAAATAATTACACTGCGGTTCTTGAGGGAAGAGAAAAGTTTTCCCATTAACCGGCACTCATTAACCCACTTCCAAAATGTGCAAGTGACTAACTTCAGGGGGCTGCGCGGCCATTTCCTTACGCAGGGCTTGTTCAAATGCCATACACGCATTCACATGCATAACACGGGAGTCTGCTCACTCTAACCAGGAAGACATCATTGTTATAAATATTTTATGATGTACATCAATTAACCTTGAACTGTCTACAAACAGCAGACAAACGCTCCCTGGTGGGTGTGTCAGAGGAAGCTCTGTCAAGTCCAGCAAACACTGCGCTGCTGTGATTGACAGCATTTTAAGAGCTGCTTTTGAGGGATGGATCCCACTCTTCCCCTGCAGACAAGCCAAACGTCGCTCATTTTATAGATGTATATGGTCTGTAATCCAGTCTGCAGATGCTTTTACCAAAGCATTTAAAGTGATTGGGAGTCAGGGTGAAGGGTCTGTCGTATCATGATGATGATTTGTGCTCAGTGGCAGTGTTTGTCTGCCTTTGTGCATGTGATGCGTCTTCAAGCCTATCTTTCGAAGTAACAGCACTTCGGCATGTTGAAATAACCCTGATATTACTATGAGATCTGGCTGTAAAAATCCTGAGGCCAACAGAGTTGAGGCATTTAATCTTTCATCCTCATTTGAAAGACATTCCTAAGGAGAGCCAGAGGGTATGGAGCGCATGAAGTGGTCGCATGTCGGTCTAACCCCTCAATTTCAAAGATAAATATCACGCTGGGACAAAGCCCCCGTCTCTGCCCTGCCATCACACGACTGTCAGAAATGACAGAAGGAATACTTTGGTCCTGTGCGACATGACTCAAGGACAGGACAGGTGGGTGTCTCTGATCACATCACACTGCTGATTACTGAGGAAGGCAGAGGGATGAGAGCAAAGCCAAGGGGCCTATTGATCACACGGATGCATTATGGTATGGTAAGAGCAAGCAGGGACAGTAAAGTGCCTTAATCTGCGGTTACATACAGCCTTGTCCCTCACAACCCCTGCACCTCTTTACCTAAAATATGAAAGCTGAAATGTCATCACTTTTAGCTTCCGATATAGTTTTAGCCCTAGTTTCCTAACAAAACACATTTTAGTCATTTCAATATTGCTTGTTTTAGTTATTATAAATATATATGTATAGTTATTGTATAGTGAGGAAAAGTTTCTCACTTGGCCTCGTGGCACTCTTTTGTATTCTCCACTGCAGAGCAGCCTGATCATTGAAAAGACAGATTTGCTCACTTGTTCAGATAAAATATAATTAACTGCCGGGCTTTAGTTTGAGACAAGCAGTGAAAACATCAGGCAACATTAAAGCAATAATATTCCTCAAGCAAATGGAAGATTTTGAAGTTTGACAGCCCACATTAATCCGGCTCTCATTCCTACAGATAGCCTGAACACAGAAATAATGTTAACTGAAAGTATAAGGTTAAAGGAATACATTTTGGGACGTACACGTATTTGCTTTTTAGCTGAGAGGGAGAGATCAGAAGATTGATACTCATTTTTCACCTCTGAATGGTGAATATGTAGCTGGGAACAGCAGCAGGTTACCTTAGTGCAGCACAAAGACTAGAAACAGCTGGAACAGCTTTCTCTCAATGAAAATTCAGCGGCTTCATCTGAAAGTAAGTGGGATGAGTTGAATGTGAACAATGACTCCCTAAATATTTTATGATTTATAAAGCAGGAACAAAACAACAACAAAAAAACACCAAACAGCTGGTTTATTATGATTACAAAACTTCTGTGGAGGCAGTTTCAGACAGAAGAACGCCGTATTCTTGGCAAGAAGAAATGAACAGGAGAGTGACTAAGGGAGGTGATATTTCTTAAATCCTTGAACCCTTTCCAATAACACTGAATTCATGTGACCTTTTCTAGTCTGGGAATAGTTTGCCGAACGCTCACACGGACTAAGCACAAAATCATTAAAACGGCCATGCTGGCAAACAGACTGGGCAAATCCGAATGAGAGCCAAATGTTAAAGCACCTTATGGAGTGTGAAAGGTTAACAAGGGAAGGAGCGAAGAGAAACTTCAAGCTAGAAAACATGGAGCGAGAAACGCATTCAGTGTTAAACTCGTATCGCACTTCTATTTCTGCATTTCTCAGTCTCAAACATTGACGCTAATCTACCATATACGTCAAATAAGACAGTATAAACAGTATAGTCTGCAGATCCGTTTTGATTATTAAAGACTTAATGAATCCATGTTTTCGTCAGAGTAATGATTACTTAATGAATGATGAAATGAATATCATGATATTTCACAAGCAGCAGTATCACATCCCACTAAACCCTCTGCCTCTAACCTCCACCTGCCTCCTCCAATGGGAAGTATCTGTGGTCTTGCATCCTGTTTTCCTTGAGGTGAAGTCAGGGAGCAGGTCCAGATGGTGGCTCCATTAGTCAAAGCAGTGGAGCCCCCCTGGCAAAGTAAATTCCCTCGTCACATGCCCAATAATTGATTCGGATGATTACAAACTCTCTCTCACTCGTTGGCTCCCATAGAGCCGGGAATACTCCCCTAATTGTCAGTGAAAGATGCAAACTGGCTGCAGCTCAGTTTTTCAGTATTTCCCTAAGCTCCAAACTAACCTCCTCAGCCGCTGGAAACGGGGGTTAATACCAGTGTGCTGATCTAGACAGCTCGCAGCACCACTATCTATTCCTGTAATAGCCTGATTGACGAGTAGTTCAGTGCCAAGACTACGAACCTCCGCTGCATCCAAGTGTTAAGCTGGGATCTTCCATTTGACCAGAAAAATCATAATTGACCCGTTTATTTGAAGGCTAAAACAATTCACAGGAAGGGAAATGTGACAAAAGGTCAACGTGAAATGGGATCATCATAACATATGTATCGCTTAACTGCAACTGAGCGACTGTATGTGTATTATCTGTTTTTACTTCCCCTTTGTGATGCTGCTTGCATAGGCGTTATAATCAACTTCATAAAGAGGCACACTGGGCACACAAAGCACAGTCTGGACTGTGCTCCACTTATGTATATAAAACTTCTAAACTGCCCAAACTGATGACTCATGCAACTGTAAACAAATGGGCCTTCATTAAGTGCAGTTAACGTTTTAAACAAAGACTGTAGTTTGTTAGGAAGGACCGTTCCTACTTGGTAGGATAACAAAACAGATGCTATGAACCACTAACCTTGACTTATTGTTAAAGCCATTATTGTCATTCATTTATTGGTTTAAGCTTGGATATTGATCAGACACGACGATCTAAGCAAAAAGCTACCGTGGCACATGTGATCTTGTCTTGCTTTGATTTAAATTTTAATTATTCTCAATTGTTTTGTAAGAAAATATAAACTAATGATACTGCAGCTATTTTTGAAGAGAGGATAAAACCTTTATTGGCCACATTTGTGGAAACGGTGTCCACGCGTCGTTCCTCTGAAAGAGACTACGGTTGACTGCCAGCTAAGGGCCTGCGTCAGTAGAAGACCCTTCTTCTGCAATGGGCTACTGAAAGACGCATTTCATACTACATCGAGCCCAAAGGGTGTTGGTTATGTTTTCATTAACAATTTAAGACATTGTTCTTTTACAACATTTTGGAGGACCCATCTACAGCTACATGTAGATGGAGTCCTCTTACAGTGTTCATTTGGGGTTTTACTAAACACAACATCATGGAGAAACATTTTTAAGCTATAATACAGTAGTTCTATTTTTGTTTTTTACTCATCTCCCATGGTGCTTTGCCTCAAATTAACCATTCTGCTTCCAGCTGGCTACCTAAAGCTGCTGCTGCAAGCACATTGAATTTATGACGGGAAAAATAAAGTAATTTTTCTCTCGATGAAAAATGTCGTCTCGTCAAAGCTTACGACAAACTGCGAAGGACAGGCCAACGGGATGCTACAGCAAAACTTGATGTTCCCCAGGCTACCTAAACAACGAGAAACAGTCATGGCTGCCGATGGAGACAGAAAACAATTACGCACAGGGAAAGCACCAGTGGTTGAAGCCGTCCTCGTCAAGTGGATTGATAATGCCCGGTCACGTAATGCCCCCTTGAGTAACAGTAAAGCCATTTGAAATAGTCAATAAAATTCAGTAAATAGCAAAGCTGTCCGTTTTATTACTTTACTTCAATACTGCAGGAACCTCCAACATTTAGTTTGTGGATTAAAAAGTCATTGAACTTGACACCTGAGAAAACAGATCCCAGTTCTACACAATAAGGCAACCATTTAATGTATTTAAATAAGATGGAAGCATGTACGATTCGGCTTACTTAAGGCTGTTTTCCGTTTATTGCAACTGCATGTGAACTAAGCCATTATTGGCCAACTGTTACATGAAAACATTAAAATCCAGATGCCACATGTCCACCGACTCAGAAACCTCAAAACCGGGAACAGATGTCAAAATGAATACTCTTCTGTATTCAAAATATTAATTCATAATACTCTTCAGTTGAGATAGATAGATAGATATATATAAAAAATGTTGTTGCCATGACCACTTAACCAGCTTTATTTGTCAGCCATAACAAAGGTTAGGTCCTTTGTTTATACGTGTGTTGAATACTGAGGTTGTATTCACAAAGTATATGTCACACTCACAAAATGCCAGAGAAACTACCGTAGATTTTCCCACAATGCAGAGTGTCAGTGACCAGTAACAACACAGAAAGGTCTATACTTTAAGTGGTTTGTCAACGTTTATCATTTCATAAAGAGGTAATTCTTTACCTTCAGGTTATTTTATAAGTAGTAAATCTCTTGTTGTCTCTGCTGTCGGAATGTGGAGGTCCAGTTTGGTGGATAAGTCACACTCTGTGTACCTTATCAATTACTTTTTACAATCAGTTCAGTAGTTTACTCATTTAATATTATCACCATCCAGATGAAGAAAGTTGCTATACAATAGAGCGAGGAGTCACTTGGTAGCAGTAGTAAGTCATTCCCCTTAGCTCCCCAAGCTCCTGCACCCCAGCATCTGCTGCCATCACCCCCGGCTCCTGTGCCTCTGTCTGCAGCCACAGCAGCCTGGCATCAGGGTCTTCATCAGAGAACTGGAGCAGAGACCCTGAGCTCCGCAACACCTTCAAACACAGCTTCAGCACCTGATTGGCCTTCCATTTCCCTTCCGTAGACCTCAACAAGGCGTCTGTGGTGCCCTTATCAACTATAAGGTCCACACTGCTACAACCGTAGTGCTTGTGGAGCTGTGTGCAGTCCAGCTCTACGAACTCAAGCCGAGAGGAAAGATTGTGAGGTTGAATGGCTTTGGTTTGGACGTGTTCCTGCATTAGTTGCACAGCTATGGGGGAAATGTCTGCACAAGTGACCCGGACCGGGAGAGGAGAGTGTCTGTAAATACAGGGCCCTAAAGCAGAAGTGCCACAGACCATATCCAGGACTTGGAGCAAACCGTCTGGGTGGGGTTTGGTCTGCAATAGGGGCATAATGAAGTCCCGGACAGCATCGAAGCCAAAGAACCACTCAAAGTGTTTGAAGGTGTTTGTGCTGCTGCTGCTGCTCTCAGTGTACAAGCGGTCCCAGGTTGCTTTCTTATCCATGTTTTCAATCAGTTCAGCTAGGCAGAAACACAGATGGGATTATGTCACATGAGTTAGTGAGTGAATATTAGCAGTAAAACACAGACACAACATGCCTTAATGCCTCCATCCTTCTGTCATATTTGGAGGGACTTTATGCTAAAGTAAATTTAAAATCTATCAATTTAATGTGTCAAATATCTTTTCTTTTAATATATGATTTAAGACCTTTTCTTGGGTCCTTGGAAGCCACTACGCTCGGCATGAAGACAATCTACCAAGCTGACAAACTCAAATGACTGACATTGCTCATTAAAAAAGCAACATACACTTAACAGTCCTGCATTGAATCCTCCCTTTGTGTACTTCATAGTGCTCAGTTCATCTTTAAACTGTTAAATAGATGTGTTGATGTATCCAGGCTGTGTTATATTAGACTGCATTAGCTTGGTGTCGCTAACAAGTTTGCAACTGAGTGTGACGTTATTGCACAACAAAGTGCTACTTTATGGTCAGCTTCTGTAGCTAACATATCGGTGACAATTAGCTAAGACATCAGTGCACACAACTGCAACTCACTTTAACTTTTCTTTCTTACTTACTTACTGTTGGAGCCATAATGTGGTTTTGTTGTTTTATTTTGTCTTTGAGGGAAGCATGGGGTGGGTTTACACATGCAGTTCTGACATTGAACAGTGGGTGGCACATTGACCTAAAGTGCATATAGGTAAGGGCCTGGTAATGAGAATCAGGTGTGTGTGGACGGGAAGCTAACAATTTTTGATCGTGTCAACGTGTCAAGGTATCGTGTCAATGTAGCGTGTCAGCCGGCATATGAGCTTGTAGTTTCAAGGTCTTGTAGTATCCTGTATAGTAACCTGTGCTACTCTGTTAAGGTGGCAATATGCATATGCATAAATGGATCAACGGATCGAAAGCCAGACAGCGCATTGGACAGTGAAATGTGTGTGGAACACGCGTCCGAACAAGTTCTCCCGTTCGCCCCCCAGTGGCTTCAAGATATAAAATGGATATATGTCAAAGTCCGACTTCCGGTGTCCGATGTAGGCTGCTGTGGTAAGATACTGGCACCAAACTCCTGTCGTGTAAACCAGTAGCATATCTGACCTGTAACTTTGGATTCAGAATAGACTTTGACTGCTACCACTTTTCATAATTTAGCTTAGTATGTTTGGTGCCACCATGATGATTTTAGGATTACCAAATCCCTCCTTGAATATCAAATTGTTAGCATTGATTATTTACTGAGAGTTAAGGACGGTAAAACTTAGAGCTTTGCATAGAGGAGTGATATTTTGAAATATAGTATTTATAATCATACAGTTGTAAAATAATTAACTATGTAAAGTTTGAGGATTTACTCTAACGTCCTACATTAGGAGAGACTTGTCAGCTGTCATTTCAGTACAAACCGATGTGACCCTCCTCCCCATTCATCATCCCATCCGGTGCTCAAGGTTTCTTCCACTGAGGGCAGTCCCACTCAAACATGCCATCATCTAGATCTTCAGCCTGCCCCTACTGTCTTCAACACCCCCACCAGTGTCAACTCTCCAAAATTTTAACTTTACACAATTTAATAAATGTATTTGTTCACTGTAAATTAAGTTTCTCCTGATTTAACAACCTGTGTCTCCCATAAGTATGTCAATTATCTCCCAGTGGCTTCAGTTCTATTTATTATGTTTTTTGTGATGTATGTTATGTTATTTCAGACTAATTTGCAATCATAAGAAGCGTGGTCTTTGTTGGTGAAATGTTTCTTATATACAAAGAACAATTACTTATCGTAAAAAAACTCCAAATATATAGTAGAGTAAAATGTTTTAAGTGTGTGTTATGGAAACTACAGGTCTGATGAGGAAAGTGGGAACAGGTGTGTAGGTGGGAGGGGATGTCATGTGACCAGGACTGGTAGGTCTGGGGAGTGAGCAGGGGCTGGAGAGAAGGACAAAGAGCCAGGATGGGCAAAACCACCAACCCACTACAAAGTCTCTGACCTCCCTCGAACTTCTCAGACAGTTTAACAGTATACATATATACATACATACATATACACATACATACACATATATACACACACACACACATATATACACACACATGTATACACACACACGTATACACACACACACATACACACACACACATACACACACACACACACACACACATGTATACACACATATACACACACACACACACATGTATACACACATATACACACACACACACACGTATACACACACACACACGTATACATACACACGTATACACACACATATACACACACACACACACACGTATACACACACACACACGTATACATACACACGTATACACACACATATACACACACACACACACACACACGTATACACACACACACACGTATACACACACACGTATACACACACACATATACACACACACTTTTCATTCATGAAGCCTGGAGATTGCTCATCAGCCTCACAATTATGCAGGCTTTTCTGACAGTATTCAAGACATTTTAAATTCAAATCAATGCTCAAGACTTCTGCCAAATATGTTAATAAGAAAAAGATAATTCTGCTTACAGCGACAGATGCTTGCCAGCTTTAACCCCCCTCTTTTACCGAACATGCACTGCACATGTTCATGCTAAGGTGTTTTACCTTCAGTCATGTCTGTTCCTGCTTCACTGTTGGCCATATTCCCAATTTACAATTATTGCATGTTTGTATTTGTCTGTGTTTGGTTTGTTAAATTGTCAAGTTTTTTACTTTGTGCTTTTGGTTCTCTTTCTTTGCATAATCTTGCAATTTAAAATAATAATTGACAGCTGTCGAACAGCTACAGATTGTTTACTTTTTAGGGCACACTATGGTAGAATTTTGTAAACACGAAATGAGCATAAAAAAAAAAAACACCCAGAAATAAATCCTTTTAAAAAGACACGTTCATGCTTTAGTTGTAATATATTTGGGAGGACTTCTCTCTGTAGAAGTTTTTAATCTTCGGTCAAATGGTTTTATGAAGAATGAAAATAAGCAGTTTATTTAAGCTAAATGAACTGCATTTTCATTTCAGTTCTTATCATTTAACAGCTAAAAATCCAGCGGCCCTGCATACTTCTGACGTATTGAGGATAAAGGGCTATTAATCCCAACAGCACCTGTCGAGATAAAGTAGAGCTCTGGTGGATTGTGCAGAACGCTCCTAAAACTACATATTTATTTTTATGGCAATGATTACTCACCATGAATATTCACTTTACTTTGAAAGTCATTTTATTTAGTTTTACCAGCTTTTATTATTTAGATTAATGAAATCATTGAGCTCCATTGCCGACTGGTTTTAGAAGCTGTTGCACAATATGAAGAGCACTATGTCAAGAGCATAACGAGGCATTTAAGTTCCTTTTTGAATTGTGACTACGAGTGCTTGGTTTGGGGCTGCATTTGCATTTCGGCTTGTAAAACATAGCAGAACATTGGACTTGATCAGAAAAAATGCTTACTCTCCTGTAATGTTGCTTAATTGTATGTTCAAATATTATTAAAAAATACTTTATTATGCAATTATTTCCTTACAAAGGCACCCTATGGAGTTTTCTTATTAAGAAAATGGAGCAAAACAGTGAACCACTCATAAGATGGAACCTAGAAGAACCTTTAAGTCAGAAAATATATCCAGCACAAAAATTACATTTTCTAGAAAGTTGATCAATTACTTCAAGGTCAGCCTTTAAACTATATTCCTATGTTTGAATAAAAAAGGAAGAGTAAAGCTAGACTTATTACTCCTACTCTTAGCAGACAGTTGGGTCAACGTTAAACCCTTCACATTTGGTCAGTCTGATAAAATGCCAAATATACTGTATACTTGGTGATGTGATGAAATGGAGCAAAGTACCTGTACCTTTAAGTGATAAACCGCCTGCACTTGTAGTGTAGTGTTTGGGGAAAGGAGCGGTCTGATTTGCCCTTTTCAAGGATGTGACTAGCAATCCCTCTGCATGACCCCGGCTTAGAAAGATCCCCGGACTGGGATTTGTTACCTTGGATACCTGAGAACACACATCAGATCCACGTCCTGCTGTGTGTGTGTGTGTGTGTGTGTGTGTGTGTGTGTGTGTGTGTGTGTGTGTGTGTGTGTGTATACACATACACATACACACATACAAATACACATATATTCAATGTTATGCACCGTGTAATGAAAGATCCGTGTTGACTCTGCAGCTAGAAGCCATTGTTCCGTCTGTTGTATAATCATCCATTATACAACACAGTGGCGAGGCATCGTGATGCTCGGGTCAGGATAAACTCTGACTCTCCATCTGAATCCGCGCTCCTCACCTCTGGTACCTCTCAATGACTCCATCAAAGGCCTGACATAATAGAGACAGGCCCCTCTCCATCACCATCTGCTGTGTTGAAATGAGCTCTCGGATCTGCTTGTTCGAGGCGAAGGGGCTTCATGGGCAGTGATGGGACACAGCAGCCAGCCTGTCCCCAGAAACAAATGGCTCACAACACACCTCATTTTCTTGTCTTTTTTAGTATTATTGAGATTTCTTACTCATAAGACAGCCATTAATCATTGTCAGCGCTGCATACATTTCATTTAAGACTGTCAGCTTCACAGTCCAAACTAGTCCAGTGATAGGATTCCTAAAATATTAATGATTTCCCAGGAAAACGTGACGACAGTAAACATCACTTTCAACTATGACCACAATATTTTACTAAATTTAAAGCTGCTACAATCTATACTTGCAATGGATTGACATAACTTATATGTGAAAGGAGTTCCTCAGGTGACAATTTTGACTCACATTCACAGCGCCTTTTTAAGCTACACGAGCAGATGTTTTTAACATTTATAGCATAAAAACAGGCTATAAAGTACCAAACGGCAGACATAAAGTTAGGAAATAGCATAGCGGAATTTTTAGCATCTTAAAATACTGCATCGTCCTCAGGAGCTGGTGGAGACCAAAAACAGAGGTAAAAGGAGAGTGAATATTGGATTT